GAACAGGTAATAAGGATATTGCCCTTTTATAGGATTGCGCCCGGTGCTAGTTAGGCTCGGCGGTGCCGTAGAGGTACCGTAGAGTTATCCTTTAGCCGTCGCATCCGTATAGGGAAATCCTACTAAGGGTGTAATTCCCTCCTTCTTTCTAAGAGGGATTCCCTAGGTAAGGGTTTAAAGGGCGGTATCCCGCTCCTTTAGGGTCCCCTTATATAGGAGTTTTATAGGGTATCGGGGTCTCTATTATATAACGTTAGACTAACTACCCCTTCTAAGCTAGAAAGTATTCGAGTAGGCCCTAGGGTATTATACTAGGTAGAGTAGTTACCCTCCGCTCGACGTAATAAAGTAGAACCTTAAGCCTCCGAGTTATACTCTCTAGCTTTAGGCTCCTTCCCTTTCGAGACTATATAACTTAATCCTACTTCTAATACGTTATACTTACTTCTACTAGATAGGCTAGCTAATCTTTAACCCGATCTCCTTACTCCCTCTCCCCTCTTACTATACTTACCTTATACTATATTATAGCCCGCTTTCGTAGAGGGCCGAGTAGTACTCGTCCTAATAATAACGCGTACTAATATCCTAGAGCCCTTAGGGAAAGTTAGCTCGCGGGAGAGATTAATAACCTCGTTAGTCGCGGCGAGAAGCTTAACTAGCCTCTATAACTATATAAGGATCTCTAGACCTCCCTCTAAATCTCCCCGGATATATCCGATATTAATAAGGTATATCTACGCGACCGTTTAAATATCTACTCTACCCTCCTTAGTACTTATATTACCTATATGTCTTAAAAGGCTCGCGGGTACGTAAATAGGATGTCTAAGGGATCCGTATAGAATTTCGATATCTTAGATATCTTTATACTATTTAGTAATGTCTACTAAAGCGCTACCGCTTTAGATACGCTACGTATTCTTAAATAGTACGAATCGGACTCTTAGATAGTAGCCGTAGAGATTCGAAAATAGGTAAATAAGAGACGGAGCGAGGAAGTACGTATCTCGCGACTAGATAAAACGGCGGTATTTATAGCTTAGAACTTTTAATAGGTACTAAAGACAATTTATAAGCGTCTAGGGTAGGAATATAATCTATATATAAAGGCGTCTACTCGGTAGACCCCGGGAGGAAGAGGGAGAGCTTTATAAATAGAAATTATCGAAGATAATAGATATATTAATAGCTAGAGTAAAGATATTAGCGTTATAGAATACGGCTAGCTAGCGTAATCCCCGTTTCTATACGAGCCCTCGTCTATTCCCGAGGATAGGACTAGTACTAGAGTATCTTCGAATTAACGCGATCTATTAGCGGACCGTAATTTATTCCCCGACGATAACTAACTTACGACCTATATAACCTACGATATAGAGGAGAGATACGAACCCTCGTCTATTCCTAGGAATAATACCGGTACTAGGGTATCTTCGAGTTAACGCGATCTATCGGCGGACCGTAATTTATTCCCTAACGATAACTAGCTTACGACCTATATAACCTACGATATAGAGGAGAGTAATAGAAGTTTCACTTCTAATACTTTATTATCTACTAGTAAGAGAGTCCTAGCGACCTTCCTTCTACCCCTCCGATTTAATCCTAACTTTACCTATAGACTTATCTCCTTTCCTAAGTTCCCGTATCGATCCGTTCTTAGAGCGCGAGCGCCTTCTACGCGCGCGAGTTAACGTAAGCACTTTCTATACGCGGCGAAAGACGAGACGTAACCTTCCTTCTCGTCTTTTTATACGGCCTCTATTTCGTACTCTACGCTTCTTATATCTCTTTAGTCCCGGGCTTAGTAATACTAATATTAATATATTAGGCGATCGCTAGATTACTAAGCGCTTACGCGCGGGTAGTATTACGTCTCTTAGTCTAAATATTAAGGCCTACTTTAACGCCTTTACCCTCGACTTAGCCTCGGTTAATTTCGGGGTTACTAGTCGATATTTAAACGGCGCGGTTATCTACGCTTTCGACGAGCGTCTTTACGACCTCCGTATATTAATTATAATAGACTTCCGGTCTAAGTCGTAGGTACTTCTCGTTTAGAAGCCCGGCGACGCTATCTAAGTTACCTTCTATATAAATAATAAGATATCGGCGAAGGTAGCCTTCGAGCGTATTCGAGAGTAGCGACGTATTAAAGAGTAGCGACGTATTTTAGAGTAGCGACGTGTTTAAGAGTAGCGACCTATTTAAGAGTAGCGACCTATTTAAGAGTAGCGACCTAATAAATCTATATACCCGTATACCCTAAAGTTATTCGCCGATATTCTACGTACGGAGTATAGCTAGCCTCCCCGAGTACTTACGTATATTTTAGGAATACTAGCTACCTTTAAACTACTAGTTACCCCGACTCTCTCCCCTAACGTATAGGTCGCGCTTCTAAATACGTACTCGATATCTAATATATAGCTCTACCTCGACGAGCTTCTAGACGAAATGTACTAGCCTAACTATAGTAGTTTTAATATCTTATTAGTAGTTAGCGCTTTATAGGGTATCGTAAGTACGGAAGTCGCGTAATACCCGTTAGCGCTACCTTACGATACTCGAACCTTATATCGTAAGCATTAAAGTTCTCGCTAAAGTTATAGGAGGATTACTTAAAGCCCTAGATAACCGTAAAGCTATTACGGTAGGAGACTAAAGTCGGAACGTATTAACGGCTAAGTAAGTATTACTACTTAAGGAAGAGTTAAAGAATATAAAGAGAGCTATTAAGAGGATAAAGCTATTAAATTAGTTCTAGTAAACGTTATCTAGCGTAATCGCGTAAAAGGCGGAGTCCCTAACGAGGCTAAAATAAGAATTCGAGAGTTCGAATATTAACTTAGTCCGCGAGCTTAAGTTAAGGCTTACGAAGATTAGATATACCTAAATAAGAAAGGTATTAATACGGTTATACCGTGTATAGCGCTATTTAGGAGGGTATTATAGTCGTATAAGGTACTAATCCCGTTAGCGTTAGCATTCTTACTATATATATAATTAATACTTCCGGTACTTTATTCTTTTAAAGTATGTCGTATATATAAAGCGTATATATACTACTAGACGTATTCGTAGATACGTATTAACTTTCCTTTCTACTTTTCTATTCTATATAGAAGTTAATTATAACCGGTATTCTACTAAGAAATATACATTATAAGACCTTTTTTATTCGGCCTTAACTTACTATACCTTACCTTCTATAAGTCTAAACCGCCCTTAAGTCTTTCTTTTACCTACGCGACTAGTTATAGTACCTTTACTATATTTACGAGATACTTTACCTAAGGAGCTTACTATAGTAGATATCGGACATTACTATAGTATAGCTAGGGATCGGGGGAGTAGCTAGGATAAGTAGCGTAGAAAAGATAAAGATTACGATATAGTAAGCTAAGAAGATAGAAGTTAGGTATCCGCGGCTCGATATAGTTATACGTATCCGCTAGCCCGAAGGAATAGTACGSATACCTAGTAATCTATATATATAGTCTCTCCGCGTATCGGAGTTATAAATATAAGGATTAAGCTTTAATCTATGTCGTTAGTACTCTTTACTAAATAGAGTAGTTCGTTCCGCTCCGCTATCCTTATCTATTAAGCTCCTATCTTACTCTTTTATCTCTTTCGGTGTCCGGATAGCTATACTTATCGCTATTAGATTATTACTACCTCTTTAAGGAACTAGAGGATATAGAAGAAGGGGGATTCGAGATTTTTAATGTCTAGGCGCCTAAGTGTAAGGCTMGCGATTAAGAGTAGGATGCGTACGGAAGCTAGCGGATTAAGAGGTTGTTATAATCTAAAGGGCTATAATCTAACGAGCCGCGATCTAAGGATATAATGGAAAAATGAGGCTATTATAGTAGAGTTAGTCAAGTTATTAATCCACTCGTTTTTTCAATGCCTCGCCGCCTTACGACGATGCCTACTATACATACCATAGACGAAGACGCGGCTGTAATGTCGTCTCGGGCGATAACGCAGGGAAAATCAAGAGCGCGCATAATGAATCGCATTTCACCGGCATCACGGATGCGAACGATCTGGCGAACCGTGTGACCACTCACCCTGAGAAGTGGCTAGACACTTTGGATAATGCGAAACTTTTGCACGACAAGGTTACGGCCTCATGGGTTAGGGTGCTCAAGTCAGCGAGCTGAAGGAAGAACTACATCAACTGCAAGCCTCAATCGATGACGATGGCTCAGACGAGACGACGAAGAAGCTTTCAGACACGCAAGACATGCTTCGCCGCACTACGAAGACTATGACAGAGCGCAACAAAGCGCTCCGCCGTAGCTGCGGAATTCACGGAACTACTCGACTCTAGCCTGAACGCGCGGAGCACCTACGCATTACTCAGCGCGTGCCGCTGAACGACCTCAGCAAGCGCACGATCACACCATTTGCTGCTCGACTAGCCAAGGGCCTAACCGGTCATCCCTCTGCTAGCGCTACGCCAGGTGTATGAATTAGGGTTAGGGTTGTGACCAGAGTTTCATTACCCTTGGAAGTGTGTCTCATGTCTTACGAATGAAACTCCGTGGTGGCTAATGATTTAACAACGCCATTACAGGGAATCAGCCCCAAGGTTATCAATGGAAGCACACTGTCTTCGGAGCTTGTGAAGGGAACTTTCGGACTTGTTCCAGCTCGAATAGGGGCTTAGTTGTGAGTAGGGGTATGTCAGGCATTTCCATTGTCATTTTCGCGTCAAATGTACAAAAGGCTTGCGAACCATACGGTGGGCACTACATTTACAATTCGTATGTATCGATGTAAAATGCAAAGTCCCCCGCGATGTGTGAGCTGACCTCCAGTCAATAATGTCTCCCATGGATCGCACAGACTCTGCAAGCTCTCGGATTGAGGAACTCACGAGCCGACATGACTGGTTGTACTAGGTTCCAACCGCGGGACTTGATTGAATGAGGGTGTCATCAAGTTGCCCAGCCTGCCAACATGGCTCTGTCTCATCGCGAGACTCATGTTTCCTCGGTCGGACCATCCTCCAAGCCCAGAGACGCCATTTTCGCCATTTCCTCATTCGCTTCGTGCTTATTATAAGCAACAATGACCTCCTCAAGCGCACCAAGCAACTTCTTCTCAATATACAAGAACTTTCTCGTCTCCTGGGTAGCATGATCGACCTCGAATTCCATTGAATGCTCATTCCAGGAAAATTCCACGCTCGTCTCCACGAGTGCGCCACTTAGCGCGCGTAACCGCCTGCTTAGAACCTCGCAAGCAGATCCAAGAGTTCTCGCGGGACCATCGATAGTGGCTGGGGTGACCGTTCGGCTGTTGAGCTCCTCTTTGACGATCTGCATCACCCATGTAGCGGATTTGACCTGTTCGATCCAATGTCTTAGAAGGACTTGCTTCCTTGAAGTGTTTGCGTTGAGATTTGAGAGTTTGGTTTCGACTGCGCGACCCAATTGGTCGGATTTCGAAAGATGGTCCGGGTGCGCAGCTGCGACATACTGTGCGAGTTTGCGTTTCATTGTTGCGTTTCTGATTGAGGTCGAGATCTGATGGGAGTGTGGAGGTGATGATGAATTGCGGATGTAGCAGCGTAGGTAAGGGGCTACTTGTCGTCGTTAGACACTTGTGCTGATCGGAAAGACCCCAACGGAACGGCGGATAAAGACGTACGACGCATTCGTCGAGAGTGGCCAGCGTTCCACAAAGAGGAATGAACCTCGAGCGGCTGGTCAAAGCGTTTCCAATGGGGGATGGCTATAGGTCCAAATGTAGTAAGGTGGCTTTGTCTCGCACGACATAACTTGATGAGCCGAGAGGACGTCTTTGTCAATTGTTGGGGAAAAGATGGCCAGCTGAAGTACGACGTCAAGATCCAAGACTCTGGCCCGCAGAGAACATCCCTTCTGACTGTATTTTCCAATGACATGCACGTGTGTACGTGAGAAGACTCGATGAACATTTGGTGAAAGTCTCGCTGCAGTGCTAGTATACGTTGAGGTAGGGTGGGTGATGTGGTGCTGAATCTCTATACCAGGCGAACCAGTTGGAGATCGTGGTGTTCAGATCCAAACAACACCAGTACAATGGATTCTCTGAAACTTTTTGGCAGCTGATGTGAAATCCTAAGTTACCATACAGGAACGAGACCCAGACTCTTCTCCAAAGCCTTTGCAATCTCAGCATCTTCATCCTCAGTCTCAGCATTGATCTTCAGCGCGGCTGCAACTTTCTGATCCGCCTCCAGAAGCTCTCCATTCATCGGCTTCAACTTTTCCACAAAGTCACGAGCTTTGTCTTCAGATATGGCATCGTCTCCATAAGTAGGGGCCGGGCAGCCCCAGCGAACGAGAACATAGAAGTTTTCAAGTCGAGTGCCGAGTTCGAGAAGGCTATTACGAGCCTCTTCGGAATGTTGAAGGTCTGTTTCGACAATCTTCACCCGATTCTTGAGTCGTTTTTGAATCCGAGCGATGGTTGCCTCTATTGTGGTAAGCCATGTGGATAAGCTGTAGCGAGCTGGTGTTTCGGAGACGTTGCCAGATGGCGATTTCAGGAGCCGTAGTGAGTAGAGGCAAGCAATGCGAGCAATGTCTCCATTTTCGTTAATGCAGCGGATGAGACCTTTGAGGCTTGTCATAATTGACGTGAGGGTATCGTAGTAAGAATGATTGGCAAGGATGATCGTTTGGAAAGGTACTCCTCAGTCCGAGGGTCAGATCACTGTTGTCGGGATAGTCAGGAAAACTCACGCTCGTGGTCGCCGACAAAGAATCGAAAGGGACAAGGAATATATCGACGGATTCACACAGCCGCTTTGTGTGCCAGGCCCGACGCTTATACGCCGATCTGATAATCAAAGGGATGCCATTTTTCGCACGGAACTATTTCATGCCTGCTCGCGTGGTAGGTCATTGTGTCGCAGAGAGTAGCTCCAGTTATGCCAAGCTGACAGAAGAAATACATACACTCTGTGTTTGAATTCAGAATGGAGGGGCGGAATACGCAGTCATTGGAGGATTCTGTACGTTTCAAGGTATGATCTATGAACTTGTAACATCAAGAGGATCAGTAAAGTGAGAGTCAGTTCAGGTACAAGAGCAGGCCCATATTCAACAGCGTCTCACGTTCCGACTGATGTGAACTACCAGCGTCAGTCCTTCACAGTCATCTTCTAGATGTCATTATGGGTAGCATAGTTTGAATGAAGATTTAAAGGATCAGCCCTCCGGTTTATTTGTTTCGCTTCGCCACCAGCTCTGAAAGTCCTGTTCGATTGTTGATTCACCACACGATCAAACCACCAGCAAGCTGCCTCGTTTGTTTACTCACAGGTGACAAATACGGAATTATGATCAGGGGACCAAAGAGTCCGTTCGTTCAAATACTTTCTTGTCTCGCGGACGTGAGCTCAGGTAGTCTCTTGGTTAATTCTGATCTGAACATGCTATACCACCTTCCCGTTCAGATCGATCCATCCCCTAGCACTGTGCTATCCCGGCCGGCGGTCTGACCGAGAAACACTTACATGAGTACTATAGTAGGCCAGAGAGGTAAACAGGATCAGTGATGGATCAGGAGGCGACATTCAATCCCGTCTTCGTTTTATATGACCAGATCAAAGCCTGTATAGAGACGATTAGGTCGCTGCTTCGAAGCGTACCAGTGCGGGCACCGCCGACGCAACGCCCTGTTGTCCGAAGAGCAAGATGGTGCGTCCAGGGAGTCGGGTACTCTCTATAGTACTCCCGTGGTGGAGGATATAATGAGCAATTGAAGTGCAAATCTCGCCGAGGCTTCACTTTAGACTTTGCCAAGACTTTCACATGCCCGCTAGTGCCTCCCTTCAACATCCTCATCAAACTCCGCTCGACATCTCCTTAACTTCCAAACCAACATCTACGACAGAATGGCTGGAGGACGCAAACCACTTCGTCAACTCGCGCGTAAAAAGCTCGAAGCAAGAGCTAACGCGAAGCACAACGATATATAATCACTATTCCACAAACTCCCAGCAGAGATCCGGTCTCAGATCTGGGCCCATATCGTCGGAGAGAGCGAACAGCATGTCATCAAACAGAACGTTCTCAAGAGTGGATGGTCTATAACAAGTGAGYGGTTCAAGGACGACAAATTTCCAGTGTCTCCTATCACGAGGGTCTGCCCTCGAATGCGCGTGGAGGTAATGCACACTCTCTACGCCTTCAACACCTTCGTCATTCATCTCAGCGATCCGATCGACTACTTTATATGCTCGAGGGCGAGCGCACCATCAACGACGAGCGCGCTACTCAAAGGATTTCCTACTTCGATCCTGCAGCATCTTCGCCGTGCAAACATCACGACAACAAGTCACCTAGTGAAGAGAAGCTTATCTTGCTCCGCTAACTCTGAAGCCCAAGGTTCTGTCGAGATCGTTATTCAGGGAGATAACGTTTCCGTCTTTGGTGGCATGTGGCTCGATGCTGGGATGGATGGATCATCTTACCACTATCACGCGCGAACTTTTATTGCCCAGACATCGAGACCACAAGCTACAGACATTCGGATGGAGCTATACGTTGACAAAGTGCGCACGGCGTTGAAGAAGAAATTGGTGCAGCCTGAGATTGAGTGGGACACGCATGGATCGATTTCGGCAGATGACCAGGTCTTCGCGTCGAGGTTTAATGCCGAGGAGCAGGCTTGAGTTCGTTGTCGAGGGGAGTGGGAAATGGCGCTTGCATGAAGGGTGTTAGGCTGGGATGAATAAGGGGAACAAGCAAGAAGCACATGCTTTCGGGGTGCTGGAGAGCAAGGGAGAACGTAACCATCACGATGTGTACTTTCTTGTTGGAAGACTCCAGCTAGACGGGGTATAATCAAATCGAGTTTCAGGCCATCAGTCTATTCAGAATCATGGAGACGAGAAGTCAGTCCGGTATTGTCATTGTTCATCTATTAACACTGCTTCTCATGACCTCATGGTACCGACAGATTCGAGGTTTCTCGTCGTACACCCTGACTCCTAAGAATTTCATGTGCCCTGCTCGGCGAGCGCTTCATACATGTGTATGAAAGACGAATCGAGGACAACGCCAGACGTTACGCAGATGACATCGCGATTCCTCAGATTGGTGAATCGCAAGTTGACGACATGTCCATCAATTGAAGTGATCTTTCCCAAGCATCTCACCCAGTAAGTTTGCTGTATTCAAGCTGCGCGGAAGCGTACGGCCGTGCAAGTTGCCATTTCCCACCCAACATTTGCGAAGCCTGAGTATGGCGGATCCCAGTCTGCTCCATCCTGTACAGCATTGTCCCAAGACGCTGAGTAGTAAGATTGCTCGAATTCAAAGCYGTGACACCTCGATAAACAAGACCCCCCATGAGTGCGATGTACATTACGTTGACTGTTGCTGCTTCCACTGGATCCGCTGGGCGAGGTGTCAGATCTACCGTTTTGTATGATGTGGCGCGCCAATTTCCGCCTGCGCTTCTCTCGAAAGTCATCGTACAGGCGATGAGTGGTGATTCGATGACTTCTTCTTCGCTGTCTTCATCTCCTGTGACGCTTGTGGGGTTGGCGAGACGCCAGACTTCGCAGGAGAAGTGAATGGGTACTGTCACCACGATCTTGTCGAAATTTGAGAAGACCGCAGAAGGAACAGGTATATTGAAGGAACCAAGGTTCATAGCATTCTGTGGCCCGGCGCACGGAAGCCGGCTGCGAAACAGGTTCAGTGACACGGTGTGGCAAGACAGTCGTGCATTATCCAACGCCTCCCTGCCGACGTCTCTAAGTGTCCGAGAAGCGCGCGCGAGCGATCTCAGACCTTGCCAAGCGGGAGTCTCGACTCTGTAGAATCTCTGCTGCGGCTCGTTGAAGAAGAGTTCCAGAGTGTTGGCGTCGATTTCTCGTCCGATGCCTAGTAATGTCTCGTCTGGCAGCCTCTCGAGTCTTGAACCCATGGTTTTGTAGCGTATCGTGGAGCTCGTATCGGTGGTTCCAGGAGTAGAGAGTGTGGTTGGATGAGCTCCTTTTGTTGTTGACCGTGACGAGGGTGCGAAGATGTTCATGCGCGAGAAGGATAATCCGGCTTGAACACGGTATCCTTTGTGCCTCGCCGGATCGGGATACTGCAGTGGAAGAAAATCGAGAAGGGATGTTGATGTTTTTGAGACTTGACTGTAATGCACCCCACCTGAAGTAATGTTGCGAGGAGATGTTTCCAACACTCATCATCTTTCGAACTCAAAATGTAAATTTACTAAATCATGACAAGTAAACAAGCCACCCTCAGAAAAGCTACCCTGAGAAAAATCCACCTCAGAGAAACCACCGATAGCTGCACAAGCCTTGCAACCCAACTACGAGCCCCTGACAAGGGCTTCATAAAGATTCACAGCCTTGTCCCAAACTTCCGCCGGCGAGATCCAGAACTTAGGAGTAGGGTGTGTACACCTATACCTATACTCCAGACACGCTACATGCAGTCCATACAGTACCTCGTACAGTCGGTTTGCGTCAAGATTGACGGGACGGGTGTCTGCACCGTTGTTAAGAAAGACGACGGCAGTTGAAGCCATGAGCTTATGAAGTTCTTGATATTGCAGCACAAGAGAGGCTTCTTCGTGATCTTGTGGAGGGATCAAAAAGTCATAGTCCGTAGTCCACCATGCCCAAAGCCCACCTCTTATCCGTTCGAAAGTCATCGTACAAGCAATCAACGACTCGAATCCGTGGCTGT